ACTACCATCGCCACCACCATCGTCACTACCACCGCCACCACCATCATCACTACCATCGCCACCACCATCGTCACTACCATCGTCACTACCATCGCCACCACCATCATCACTACCATCGCCACCACCATCGTCACTACCACCATCACTACCATCGTCACTACTACCGCCACCACCATCATCACTACCATCGCCACCACCATCGTCACTACCATCGCCACCACCATCGCCACCACCATCGTCACTACCATCGCCACCACCATCGCCACCACCATCATCACTACCATCGTCACTACCACCGCCACCACCATCATCACTACCATCGCCACCACCATCGTCACTACCACCGTCACTACCATCATCACTACCATCGCCACCACCATCGTCACTACCATCATCACTACCACCGCCACCACCATCATCACTACCATCGCCACCACCATCGCCACCACCATCATCACTACCATCGTCACTACCACCGCCACCACCATCATCACTACCATCGCCACCACCATCGTCACTACCATCATCACTATCACCGCCACCACCATCATCACTACCATCGCCACCACCATCGCCACCACCATCATCACTACCATCGCCACCACCATCGTCACTACCATCGCCACCACCATCGCCACCACCATCGTCACTACCATCGCCACCACCATCGCCACCACCATCATCACTACCATCGTCACTACCACCGCCACCACCATCATCACTACCATCGCCACCACCATCGTCACTACCATCATCACTACCACCGCCACCACCATCATCACTACCATCGCCACCACCATCGCCACCACCATCGTCACTACCATCATCACTACCATCGCCACCACCATCGTCACTACCATCGCCACCACCATCGCCACCACCATCGTCACTACCATCGCCACCACCATCATCACTACCATCGCCACCACCATCGTCACTACCATCGTCACTACCATCGCCACCACCATCATCACTACCATCGTCACTACCACCGCCACCACCATCGCCACCACCATCGCCACCACCATCGTCACTACCATCGTCACCACCATCGTCACTACCACCGCCACCACCATCATCACTACCATCGTCACTACCATCGCCACCACCATTGTCACTACCACCGCCACCACCATCGTCACTACCATCGCCACCACCATCGTCACCACCATCGCCACCACCATCGTCACTACCACCGCCACCACCATCGCCACCACCATCGCCACCACCATCGTCACTACCATCGCCACCACCATCGTCACTACCACCGCCACCACCATCATCACTACCACCGCCACCACCATCATCACTACCATCGCCACCACCATCATCACTACCATCGCCACCACCATCGCCACCACCATCGTCACTACCATCGTCACTACCATCGTCACCACCATCGTCACTACCACTGCCACCACCATCGTCACTACCATCGTCACTACCATCGCCACCACCATCATCACTACCATCGTCACTACCACCGCCACCACCATCGCCACCACCATCGCCACCACCATCGTCACTACCACCGCCACCACCATCGTCACTACCATCGCCACCACCATCGTCACTACCACCGCCACCACCATCATCACTACCACCGCCACCACCATCGTCACTACCACCGCCACCACCATCGTCACTACCACCGCCACCACCATCGTCACTACCATCGCCACCACCATCGTCACTACCATCGCCACCACCATCGTCACTACCATCGCCACCACCATCGTCACTACCATCGCCACCACCATCGTCACTACCATCGCTCCCATCACTTCCATGTTGAACGTTTTTCGCACCGCACGTAGCCAACCGTGCTAATCGGGGGTGCGTGTGTTCGTACGTCGGTGTGTGCGTCTGTTTAAGCGTCTGGGGAGTGGTGATGCAGTGGTTAGCGCGCTCTATTACGATCCTGGCACCTCGAGTTCGACTCCCGCTCACGAATATTTGAACCGGTCTTGAGTCTCCCCTATACCAACTCAGCCTTAAAATGAGTATCCCTGGCACGATAAAATATCAACATTTGGAGAGACAAAGGTGGCCGAGTGTGGCGATCCTGGCGACTCGCCACCATCGTGCGAGGTGCCGACCTTCACGGATGCCACTCGCTCACAGCGCTTGCCCCAACAGTCCGTTAAAGGCTACGCGGGGCCCCTTTGTCTTTGTAGACCGGCTGGTGTTCGTCGGGTACAAGGGCCCCGTGCGGCCCGACTGGGTGCGTCTCGTGAGCGACCGCTACTCGGCAAAGCTGCACCAGCTCATCACCGTACCGCCGCGGCGCCAGTGATGCCCGAGGAAGAGACACGGGGGAGAGGAGAGACACGGGAGGAGACACGGGAGAGGAGACACGGGAGGAGAGACACGGGGGAGAGGAGACACGGGAGACACGGGAGACACGGGAGGAGAGACACGGGGGAGAGGAGACACGGGGGAGAGGAGACACGGGAGGAGACACGGGGGAGAGGAGACACGGGAGGAGAGACACGGGGGAGAGGAGACACGGGAGGAGGAGAGACACGGGGGAGAGGAGACACGGGAGGAGGAGAGACACGGGAGGAGGAGAGACACGGGAGGAGAGACACGGGGGAGAGGAGACACGGGAGGAGGAGAGACACGGGAGGAGACACGGGGGAGAGGAGACACGGGGGAGAGGAGAGACACGGGAGGAGAGGAGACACGGGAGGAGAGGAGACACGGGAGGAGACGAGACACGGGAGGAGAGGAGACACGGGAGGAGACACGGGAGGAGAGGAGAGACACGGGAGGAGAGGAGACACGGGGAGAGGAGAGACACGGGGGAGAGGAGACACGGGAGGAGAGGAGACACGGGAGGAGAGGAGACACGGGGGAGAGGAGACACGGGGGAGAGGAGAGACACGGGAGGAGACACGGGAGGAGAGGAGACACGGGGGAGAGGAGACACGGGAGGAGAGACACGGGAGGAGAGGAGACGGGAGGAAAGATACGGGGCGAAATGAACGGGAGGCGCAAGATAGAGACGGGAGAAGAAGATGGCAGGAGGTAAACGAGAGTCGGGAGAGCGCCAAGGGGTGCAGAGACTGTGGCCTCACCCTCTCTCACCCTGCTCGTGTCTCCCGGCGGCAAGGTGGGAGGCGCCGGTGGGACCGGGGGGTGACCACGAGCCCCGCGGGACCCAAACCCCCGAGGGGCGAAGCTCCGCAGAGAGACCGGGGGCACGGAGAGGAGAGATGGCGGGAAGGGACGTGGAGCAGGCGGGGGGCAAGCGATGCCGGTCTGACCGAGGGATGGACTATGACGCCCACGCCGCCACCCCACCCCCATCCCGTGAGGGGCATTGCACGGGGGGAGGGGCATGTTCAGTGCCCTCTTCTGGTGAGTGCCTTGACACTCGACCTCGGTCAGGAGCAAGGGGTCACAAGGGGCGGCTACAGTCGCACTTTAAGCATCGGTTTAGCGATACACTCAAGAGATGGTCGCCACGTGATGAGGTGACGTAACAATGCCGGAGAGCACGTGACACTCATCACATGGTGGTGGCGGCCATCGTTTTGACTTTAATGGTGACGTGAGTGTGCCGGCTGTTGTCATGCGACGTCACTTGCCGGTCACGTGATGTTGCTGGTAATTACGTGACAACGCCGATTGGTCTGGTGACATTTCTGGTTGTCAAGCGACAATGATATTGGTTGCCATGCGAGGATGTTGGTCGTCGCATGGAGATGCCGGTTGCCATGGGAGCGCGTGGACACGGCATGAAGGACCGCGGTCGTGACGATGGCGGTCGTGTCCGGACGGTGTCCGCCGGGGTCCTCGGCTCGGGTCTCCTGCACCACTCGAGAGGCACCTCGTGCAGGGACCCCTCGTCGAGGGGACCCCTCGTCGCGGGGACCCCTCGTGCGGGGACCCCTCGTCGAGGGGTTCTCACGTCGAGGGGTCCCCGCACGAGGGGTCCCCGCGACGAGGGGTCCCCGCACGAGGGGTCCCCACGACGAGGGGTCCCCTCGATGAGGGGTCCCCGCACGAGGGGTCCCCTCGTCGCGGGGACCCCTCGTCGTGGTGACCCCGAGTCCGTTGAGAGGTTGAGAGCTCTGGCAGTGCGCGGCGAGTCACAAGCGAGAAGGGAGCGGCCGCCGTGCTCGCAGCAGTGACACGGCACGAGCACTATCACAACAGCGTGGCGTTGGCAGTGACATGATGCACAATACTCGCACAGAGCATACGCCCCGTGGAAGTCACCAGGTTGTGTCTGCGTGCATGCCATGTGTGTAGCATTCACTCCATAAGACAAGCAACGACAAAGATTCCCCGTATAACCTTGAACAGACATTGAGGAAAGTGCTGTTAGCGAGCACCTATGAAGGCCGGCACTGCACACGAAGGGGGCGTGATGCGACTAGCACCCGCACCCGGCCGCCTTTGTCTCCCCAGTCCTGATGTGTACTACACACTGCAGCAGGTACTCATTTTTTATTCTGAGCCCATCTAGGGGGAGGCCCAAGACCCGTTCAGTGATTCACCACTGTTATTGTTTGCGAGCGGCAATCAATCACGGGGTTCGACGTGCAGTGCGCTAACCACTGTGCCACCGCTCCCCACGCACACGACCCCGACACCGATCGCACAACGGCGCACAAATGCGGTTCTCCGCGTACACCGATGCGCGTGAACATTTTGCGAATAAAATTCCACCGTTGTACTTGTGTCTCCTGCGCATACTCAAGTCTCTCTCAAGGCCGCTTTCCTTCCGCACACCACACCCTCGCCACTCACCAAACCACACCCTCACCACAGAATTTACGGCACGTGCCCATCTTGATCCTGACGTTTATTGTCGCTCAGAATCTCCCCCCCCCACCCACCCCCGACTCATCACACCCCTCGCCCCGCCCCCCCACCCCCTCCTCCCTCTCCTCCCAGTCCCTCCCCTCCCACTGCCCCCGTCCTTCGCTCCCCGCGCCTCCCGAATAACCTCCCCCCACCATCCGCACCACCTCCCAGGGCCCGACCACCTCCTCCACATCGCACTCTGCGGGCCTGGCCCCCTGCCCCGGCCCGGCCGCCACCGAGCAGCGGAGGGGCCCGGCGGCCACCGAGCAGCGGAGGGGCCCGGCGGCCACCGAGCAGCGGAGGGGCCCGGCGGCCACCGCGGCTCCTCCCGGCGCCACCTCCCGGCAGCACGGGGAGGGCGACGGCTCCATTAGCCCCTCCTCCTGCTCCTGGTGCGCGCGCTGCTGCCCCGGTGCGCTCCTTCGCTCCGGCGATTCCCTGGGCGCCAGTTCCTCCTCTCGCTCCAGCAGTCCACTGCCCTCTTCACCTGCGAGCACGCGCACACACGGACAACAATCCCCCGTGTAGCCTTAACAGACTCTTAGGGCAAGTGCTGTTAGCGAGCACCGATGAAGACTGGCACGAGCATGCACACACACGTACACACACGTACACACATACGTGCACATGTGTTAGCAGTGACAAAGTGCACGGCGCTTCCTTATCCAGGTCGCGCCGACCACGACCCCCTGACCCTCCACTCGGGACACGAATGACTTCAGACCCCTTTTTAGACTACCCCTGTAACTCCTTCACTCGGGAACTGTTCCTAGCACCCCCTTGCCCCCCCCCCCCGGCCTCCAGTCCCTCGCCCCGACTTGCACGTCACCCCCGGAACCCACATCCGACCTCGTCCTGATAGTCTCACAGGAAGCGATTTCCACAACCGGAAAAAGTGAAGAGATATATCGAGAAAGTAGAATTAACGCTACTGCCGATGTTGGGTTCTGCTCGATAGTGATACCAGCGCTGATCTACGTTACCCAGCAACCCGTGACGTTACTCAGCTACCCAGGACACTAAACGTGATGTTACCCGGCTACCCAGGACACTGGACGTGACGTTACCCTGCTACCCAGGACACTGGACGTGATGTTACCCGGCTACCCAGGACACTGGACGTGATGTTACTCAGCTACCCAGGACACTGGACGTGACGTTACCCGGCTACCCAGGACACTGGACGTGACGTTACCCGGCTACCCAGGACACTGGACGTGACGTTACCCGGCTACCCAGGACACTGGACGTGACGTTACCCAGCTACGCAGGACACTGGACGTGACGTTACCCAGCTACGCAGGACACTGGACGTGACGTTACCCAGCTACGCAGGACACTGGACGTGACGTTACCCGGCTACCCAGGACACTGGACGTGACGTTACCCGGCTACCCAGGACACTGGACGTGATGTTACCCGGCTACCCAGGACACTGGACGTGACGTTACCCGGCTACCCAGGACACTGGACGTGACGTTACTCGGCTACCCAGGACACTGGACGTGACGTTACCCGGCTACCCAGGACACTGGACGTGACGTTACCCGGCTACCCAGGACACTGGACGTGACGTTACCCGGCTACCCAGGACACTGGACGTGACGTTACCCAGCTACCCAGGACACTGGACGTGACGTTACCCGGCTACCCAGGACACTGGACGTGACGATACCCGGCTACCCAGGACACTGGACGTGACGTTACCCGGCTACCCAGGACACTGGACCTGACGTTACCCAGCTACCCAGGACACTGGACGTGAAGTTACCCGGCTACCCAGGACACTGGACGTGACGTTACCCGGCTACCCAGGACACTGGACGTGATGTTACCCGGCTACCCAGGACACTGGACGTGACGTTACCTGGCTACCCAGGACACTGGACGTGACGTTACCTGGCTACCCAGGACACTGAACGTGACGTTACCCAGCTACCCAGGACACTGAACGTGACGTTACCCAGCTACCCAGGACACTGGACGTGATGTTACCTGGCTACCCAGGACACTGGACGTGACGTTACCTGGCTACCCAGGACACTGGACGTGACGTTACCCGGCTACCCAGGACACTGGACGTGACGTTACCCGGCTACCCAGGACACTGGACGTGACGTTACCCGGCTACCCAGGACACTGGACGTAACGTTACCCGGCTACCCAGGACACTGGACGTGACGTTACCTGGCTACCCAGGACACTGAACGTGACGTTACCCAGCTACCCAGGACACTGAACGTGACGTTACCCAGCTACCCAGGACACTGGACGTGATGTTACCCGGCTACCCAGGACACTGGACGTGACGTTACCTGGCTACCCAGGACACTGAACGTGACGTTACCTGGCTACCCAGGACACTGAACGTGACGTTACCCGGCTACCCAGGACACTGGACGTGACGTTACCCGGCTACCCAGGACACTGGACGTGATGTTACCTGGCTACCCAGGACACTGGACGTGACGTTACCCGGCTACCCAGGACACTGGACGTGATGTTACCTGGCTACCCAGGACACTGGACGTGACGTTACCCGGCTACCCAGGACACTGGACGTGACGTTACCTGGCTACCCAGGACACTGGACGTGACGATACCCGGCTACCCAGGACACTGGACGTGACGTTACCTGGCTACCCAGGACACTGGACGTGACGTTACCCGGCTACCCAGGACACTGGACGTGACGTTACCCAGCTACCCAGGACACTGGACGTGACGTTACCCGGCTACCCAGGACACTGGACGTGACTATACCCGGCTACCCAGGACACTGGACGTGACGTTACCCAGCTACCCAGGACACTGGACGTGACGTTACCTGGCTACCCAGGACACTGGACGTGACGTTACCCGGCTACCCAGGACACTGGACGTGGTTACCGGCTACCCAGGACACTGGACGTGACGTTACCGGCTACCCAGGACACTGGACGTGACGTTACCGGCTACCCAGGACACTAGACGTGACGTACCCGGCTACCCAGG